TTGTTTTTGATTGAGTCTCTTTTTTTTTGGTTGAAACTTTTTCTAAGTTTTTGGTTGAACTCGTTTTCTTGCTTATACAACTTTATTTGCTTTGGCGAAGCTTACATGAACATTCTGGGCGGGGCTTAAGGACGAGCGATGTAAGACGTGTTCCGATTGGTTAGCGCTGACTAAAGCGGATGACTCCCTGAGATCTCAGAACTCTGTCCCGAACTGCAGGGCTTCGGTGACGGGACACAGAATGTGAATGGTAAGTAATCTTCACAAAATTACACCGTTTAGCAGCTTCTAAAGTGTCCACCCTGTTTCAAAGAAGAAATCTTACTCAACTTATGACGACAGTCACATATTTTGTCTGTCGTGATCTCCGGTAGCATATTGTGCTAGCTAATGTTAGCACTAGGTAAAGTTCATAAACTAGGCTTGTGTAATATTCGTTAACCAGCGAACCTCTGTCGAGTGGCTTTAAGAGTGGAAAATACCAAATATATCTGGAGGAAATATGTGTTAAAAACTGTTGTGTAATCCTCCGTGTGTGTGTGTATTAACTAGCATTGAAGCTAAAATGGGAAAACAGCGGATCGTTGCACCATTGTTATTAGATGCACATTAATCTGCACCACACGTCAAGTGACTGTGCAGATGATTTATTTACCAAGCATATAATCAGTTCTGTCGATGAGGGGAGGCAACGTAACTCTTAAATATATATTTTCTTCCAGATGTAAAATGTAAAACTAAGCTGGTAGGTCACAGGCCGAAGGATATTCACATAATTTCTGTTTTTTATTATTTGGTGGGTGTGTGTCCTGTACTTAGTTTTATTCCGAATTAGATGTAATATGCCTTTTGCTGCGTTATGATATTAAATTAAATTGGTGTTCTCCTAATTCCCCATTCTAGTATGACCAGCAGAGTGCAGCTGAAGCAGGACAGGCTTGTAGGTCTTACTGATTCCTCCAGCTGCTAGAGACGATCAGAGCATGAGGATGGAGAGACCAGCAAGTGTTGAGTCAGAGAAGGTCAGGTAGGGAAGGAAGTGTTGCTTATAGGGGCCGGGTGTGTTTGGCTAAATATATTTCTCCAAGTCAGTTTATTTATTGGTTTTAAAACTAATGCATGCTTATGTGTTGATAATGATACATTTTAATAAAAATACAAAAATGACCAACAACATCCTGGCAGAAGTAAATAAACAAGTTTATATCAGAGCTTTTTCTTTTTGCATCTGGAACACATTAAAAGCGAATTACCAAATTTGCTTTATTCCCTGTTATGTTAACGTTATTTCTCCCTTTTTCATCCTCACTGCAGCTGGAGCTGGACTGGAGTTCTGTTTGGCTTTAGTGGCTTCCTGGATGGAGACATCGACTGAGCTAAAGCGGCTAACAACGCAACATTTTCCTCTCCCATTATAAACTTTGCTTTTCTTCAACATGGAAAATACTCCTACATCAGTAGCTCTGTTTGTTATTTTGACATCAATGCTTACCTGGTGGTCAATTGATCCTCTTAACCACTGAATGTATCAGAACCACCTGGACTGAGCTGGCTTCGTCAGAGGGAGCCAAGACTTCTCGATAAAATGACTTCCCGTATTTTAAGATGTTCTTCTGGTAAAATTGCA